TTCAGACTGGCAACTGCCAGCTTCAGACTGGCAACTGCCAGCTTCAGACTGGCAGCTGCAGACTGGCAGCAGCAAGCTGGCAGCTGCAGACTGCAGACTGGCAGCTGCCAGCTGCAGACTGGCAGCTTCAGACTGGCAACTGCCAACTTCAAACTGGCAGCTGCTCTGCAGGCAGCCGGCAGCTGCAGACTGGCAGCTGCAGACTGGCCATTTGAGACTGGCAGCTGTTAGCTTCAGACTTGCAGACTGGCAGCTGGCAGCTACACACTGGCAGCTGGCAGCTTCAGATTGGCAGCTGCCAACTTCAGACTGGCAACTGCCACCTGCGGACTGGCAGCTGGCAGCTGGAAACTGGCAGCTGCAAACTGGCAGCTGCAGACTAACAGCGCCAACTTCAGACTGGCAGCAGCTGCTAGCTTCAGACTGGCAGCTGGCAGCTGCAGACTGGCAGCTGAGCTTCAGATTGGCAGCAAACGGACGCCAGCTCGGGGCAGCTCGGGGGGCTGAGACGTGGAGTTATCTCGCTGCTCGTCAAAAAGGGGAAAATCAAATCTTCGAGTTCTGTGTCTGTGTCTGAACGTTCAAATTCTGACATGGAAGCTGGAGACTCAGACTCGCAGTCGGAGCTGCTGGCCTGTGAGTCGCTCAGGGCGCTTGGATAAATTTGCTTTGTGTCACAACCAGGCCCACGAGGCAGCGCAATCAGCACGAGCGACGAGAAGCGACGAAAAAAAATAAACTACGCAGTTTTTGCCCAACAACCCGCAACAGGCAAAGACCGCGCAAGCGCTGGCCCAGCTTGCAACAACAAGTGAACACTCCGTCGCTCGCAAGCAAGCAAGAACGCCAGGACTCTCGTACATATGGGCAAAATCCGCAGAACAGACTGGCTCTGGCGCTGAGGTCGCTCGCCGCTCGCGCTCTGCGATTCGCTAGCTCCTGCCCGCCGCTTGCGGCTTGTCGCTTCTTTCCGTCGGGCGCGTGCAAGCTGCGCTGCCTGGCGCTGAGCCCTAAACCGTTGCCGAGCCAATGGGATTTGCTCCAAAGCGCGCTAGACGCAAGATAAAAATCGTTGCCAAGCCAGTGGGATTGCTTCTGCGCTCGCGGAGCTCGACTTTCCAGCTTCGTGCGCGGCGTTGCTTCGCGTTTCAGCTTGCTGTGAGGCGAAGGACTGCCCGCTTCTTGCCAGCGCAGCTACAACTCCTGCCCTGGCACAACACGGCGAAGGCTTGCGCGGTTGCTGCGGGGCGCGTCGCCTAGCGTTCTTGCTTGCTTGAGGGCGACGGAGTGTTCGCTTGTTGTTTGCGCTGGGCAAGCGCTTGCGCGGTCTTTGCCTGTCGCTTGCTGCTGGTGACAAAGCGCTTCTTGTTTTCTCGTCGCGCTTGCAGTTGTCTCGAAGTCTTTGAACCCTAAACCCTAAACCCTAACCTGTTCCTCCTTACCTGTTGCTCCGACCTGCAGGCACCCCGAGCTAGCAGAAAATTGACAAAACCAAGGTCTCCACTCAAGTCCTGCCTGGCCTTTCTGCCAGAAAGAGTGGGAAAGGAAAACTCAAGAAACATCAGTAGGAAAGAGCTTGATTGCATAAGTAGCATCCCCACCGATCATTCCACATCAATGGAATACAATGCAGCAAAAACTACACGCATCCTGCACTAGGGAAAACAACACGAGCACACAAAAACAAACCAATGGTCCCTACTCATTCCCGTTGGGACCCCAGGCACCTGCTCAAGTCTTCTGAGAGAGCGCAAGCATGAAACGATATATTAAAAAGGCTTGTTTGTATCGATAAGAGGAAGTTGCAGCAAACAAGAATACTACACATTGCAGAGAGCGCAAAGAAGATGAACAAATGGAGGCAAACTAAAGGCCCCTATTCAAGTCCAGCAGGGACCTTGCCACAAGAATATATGCAAAAACAAGAAGCCTCAGCGGGACAGATTGCATCAGTAGCACCTCCATCCATCACGTCGGGGGACCTGAGCAAGTTGCAAGCAAACAACAGCAACCAACGCGTCCTGATTTTCAGGCTTCCAGGAAGTAGTGAGAGCACATCACGGGTCATCAGGTTCTATTTCCTTTCGCTCTCGCTATCATCTTGTTACTCACTCCCCACTACCTTTCTCACACTTTGACCACACCAGCTCCCACGATTGTTGGCCAATCCTCCACAGCCCTCCAGCTTCCTCGGTAGAAGAAGATGGCGTCCAGCCTGTGCAAATGTTGTAGTAGCGATATAAGCAATTCATGGATGCGCTTTGCAGCTTTCAGCTTGGCAGCATGGTCCAGCTTTCCATACTCGCGATGTGTCTTCGCCGGTCCTGCTTCGCGGCGCGACCACCTTGTCATTCCATTCCAGCCAACCCCACCAGTCCTACAAAGCAGAGACAGACCCCACTGAGGGAAAACATGAGCAGAAGGAGGCAAGCCAAAGGTCCCTACTCAAGTCCTGCAAAGAAGCTCTCCAGACAGAGCTGGATTGCATCAGTAGCATCCCCATGCATCACTTCTGGGGACCTTTCCAAAAACAAACACAAGGACGCACATCCCCAGCTAGGAAAGAGGACTTGAACAAACGGAGGCAAACCAAAGGCCTAACCCAAGTTCTGCAGAGACCTTGCCAGGGAAAGGGTGCAAACACAAGAGAAAACAAAAAGCATCAGAAGAAGGAAGCTTGCTTGCATCAGTGCCTTGTATGCCTAAAGTATTGCAAGTAGGTCGACCACAAACCATAGGAATTTAAAGGATTGCCCATGTTGCCTACTTGCAATATTTAGGGCACCCGCTGTAACCACACAGCCTGTTAAACGTTCCATTTCTACACGCGCTGCGCGTGTGAAACACATGCAAGAATTCGACTCGACCCCACACCCATCTCTGCTCATTGCTACTGCCGTCCTGCGGCAAAGAGACATGAACCAACCAGGTCAAACAAAAGGTCCCTTCCCAAATCGAGTTTCTGCTTTGCACATGCATTGTACCTGCAAGACACATGAAAGCAGGCCTGTATGGTCGGCGGTTTGAGCATGAGGCGTTAAAGATCCAGTGAAGCAATGTCCAACATGAGCTTGCACAAGCACACAGAACCAACATCGCCTTCCAAGAGTGCCTCCAAAAAAGGGGGGTTCTACACACCCAGAACCTTATCAGGGGCCAAGCCGTTCGCACGAATCCAACTGGAACCTTGCGCCAAAGGGCTTGTACGAAAGGACCAGGATGGGCGGCGTGCCCACGGTGGCATTCCTCGGCTCATCGCAGCTTCTGGGGCCAGGGTCCGAATTGTCTCTCAAGCTCTGGCTCCGAATTGCTGACTTTGTTGGCGGAACCCGCTGTACGATCCAAGGAGCAAGGGCTCACAAGCCTCAGAGTGAGATGCTAGGCGTACATCAAGCCGGAAAACAACTTTAGCAACCTAGAGTGGCAAGCAATGATGCTGCAAAGCACCATGAAGCATCATGCAACTATCCTGTTGACATCCAGCCATGCCAGATCTCTTTGTCAAAGATTCAGAGGATGAGCCCACAAAGGCAGTAAGGACGAGTTCTAAAGTGAGATATTCAACTCCCAACCCTGGCATGTGACAAAGGACAGTGTTTTCTGCAAACACAAAGAATAAGCCAAAGCATAAACAAAGCTCCACAGAAAAGGGAAAAAAGGCTTGGATCCATACGGACAAGACGTCGGAGCAAATCTGTCCGGGACTGAGAGGGGAGGGGGTCCATAAGGATGACCTCATGGCCACTTCAGAAGTCTCCTGATAAAGTTGGCTACTCCTAAATTATCAAGTGCATGGTCAAGGAGTGACACATATTTCTTAACCTTTTGAACAGACTGCGAACCAGCTCCCTGCCAATGGAACCAAGAGCTGCGTCCAACTCCAGATAAGTCTGGAGTGGACCTGAGCCTCAGACCAACCTCAAAATGCAAGGCAACCCGTGTTGTTCCATGTCCATTGTCCTAAACGAAAAGGAAAAAGCGACCCCAAAAAGTGCGACTCGGTATACCCATCGCCCATGTATGCAGAGTCCCAGTCATTCTGTGGATTCGCGGCAAGGTGCACTTGCTGCCAAAGCTTTCGGATGATCAGCAGCGCGCGCACCATGACCACTCCCAGGTAGGACTTGCCCGTTCCCGGAGGGCCTCGCGAGCGGCGAGCGGCGCACCGCGCCAGGGAAGAGGAAGAGGTCAGCGAAGCGCATGCCGAAACAAGGAGAGCTCGTTTTGAGGGATCTGCAAGGAAAGGCCAAGGTGAGCTCGTTTTGGCCCCAAGCTCACGAGGTAAGCAATAGGCAGAGGCCATGCGTAAATGGTGGGTGCCAAACTAGACCCCCAAAAATGGCGGTGTTCGTTTTGGTCAAAGGCAAAAATGGTACCCTCAAAAACAAGCTTTAGAGGCCTGGGGCCTGAAGGGGTAGGGAGACCTGCGTGAACTGATCCTCATTACTTTTCCTGGAGCTTCTCAGAAAGCGTAGCCAACAACACACACACACACAGCAAATCTGTGGTCCACCAGACGATCTAAATGCCTGGGGTTTCTGAACTCAAAAGACCTGCAGGTCTCAGGATCCTACCTCAGCTTGTGCCCACACATACTGTGGATGGGCAACATCCCCATTCGGGATGGACGAAACTCTGTGAAAACTTGATATCAATCACTTACTAACTGGCAGGATCATGTCCACAGCATGTCTACATTCTGGACTTAGTAACCCTTTCTCGCGCCTTGGGTGAGGTGGAGGGAGTTCCGAAGGCCATCGATGAAGCTCCGCAGCTGGCCATCGTCCAAGGTCACCGCCCGCAGCAGCTGAAGCAGCTCCTGAGAGAGCCTCAGGGGCGTCTTTGTTTTCAGGGTACACCTTCTCTTTCGCGGGTTTCAAGGAAAACCAAAAGGAAAACCAGGTTCCCAAAAATGAAACACCCCCAAGTAGCTACTTAGGATGCTCGGCCCACGTGGTGGTCAGTAACCTAGATTATATATGAGGGGACTCATGGGTTGCACAGGTCTTCCCGCGCCCCTTGCCAAAAGGAAGCTCACTTTAAACTGGCAACCAAAAGGTGTTGTGTAAAGCCCTGTTACACCCCATGCAAACCCCTTGAGTGGGCCGAACACGCAAGTACCCAGAATCTGGGTAAATTTCTATGACTTTCCAACCAGAATTAAGGACCCGTAAGAGCTCGCTATAGTTCGGTGCACTCAACAACTAGAACAACCCAAAGATGGAACAACCCAAGATAGCAATTGGAGCACATCGCAACATGCAAAAATACGCTTGACTGTATTGAAATAGTGTGTCCCTCGCGCAGCACTATGCATGTGTGTGTGTGTGTGAATGCATTTATACCCAGCGTAAGTCTCTCTCTCTCTATATAATAACATATATGCACATGTGTCTTCAATCACGAATTTAAACAATTCTGCGAATATGCAGCACATGCAAACGATCCAAGATGGACGCCTGCCACCACGTGCTTTATCACAAGTTAGATCTATCAAACATAGAAACACCTGCGAGGCCAATGCAATTGAAGATAAGATTCAATCTACCATATCAACAGCGAAAACGACATCGAAGTTCACATAGGAAAACTCACGGAAGTGATTGTGGAGAGGCAATCCAACGCCGGCCATGGTCTTCAACAGCTGTTTTGGTGCTGCTGTCTGGCAAACTGTCCATGATAGATTCTTGTTTCGGCCCCGCAAGTTGTGCAATTGTGCTCTTCGCTTCCGAGTGGACCGGCTTTACATTCTCACTGATTCCCAGTTGTGTTTTCAAAGTCTTGATCTTTCTGTCAATCATTCTTCTCACGAACAAAATACGGACCCGTCGGTTAGCATCATTTAGGTGGGATTCATGTTGACGCACTTGCCAGGCCTGACAAAACGGTCCCAACCCAAGCCTGGGTAAGAGAAGGAGGAAAGGGAAGGAGGTTGAACAGTTGGCCTGAGAGGAGTCCCCGCTTTTGCCAAGGGTTCAGGTTCGTGAAGGAGTGGCCGGTGAGTCCCAGCTGACCAGAGGCCTGTGGGATTCCGACCTTCTGCTACTCCGCTTTCTGAAGGCCGGTAGGGGGGTCACGTCTTAAGTACGCCCACACATTGGAAGAATGGGCTGCAGACTCGCAGACTGGCGAAAAATGTGGAAAACACGCAGAAGCCTCGGATCCCCAGATCCAGGGGGCCTGTCTGCCAGCTGATCATCTCTCCGGATCTCTCGGATGGGCTGCAGAGTGCTTTCATCGATCATCTCATCCACCTCGATGCGGATGGAAAAGATCCCGTGCAGAGTGAAACATACGGGGTTCAACCTTCCATGGGTGCCTGGGCCTTTGGCGCCTGTCGCCCTTTGCATTCATTAAAGTCATTTGAAAGGCCAGCCCACCATTGGAAACCATCAATCAAAACATATCATCAGGCAAAACTGAACACTTGGTGGCAAGGCGATGTGAGAAGAGCTTTGAGCACTGTTTGTCCCAGTGTGTCGGGGGCTTGCTGTTGAGACTCATCCCTGGCCGGTGCCTTCTCAAAGCTTGTGCGAGGAGACTTGTGGCCTTCGTTCCTGGCAAATGGATTCGCAACGCGAACTTGGATGGTTCTAAGTCACCCGGGTGCATTGGCGTCCTTTTTGCAACCACCTTCGCATTTTGCCAGACTCGTGTCTGGTTGAAGAATGATTCATCCCGCTATCCCAGCCAGGTGACCAACTGCTGCAGGTTTGACCTCAGGCCAGAGGCTCCGGAAGCCCTGCGGGTACGAAATCCTTCTGCGACGCACGCTGACCCTGGCACATGCAGGATGGTAACACCGGACTCAGTAGAGTCAGCCTTGCAACAAATGCGCTCAAGTTGGCCAGGGTCTATTTGGCGAAAACAAAACCAGCACAGGGGGCAGCCGACTTGTGACAAGATTCAGCTGCCCGCTTGGCCCCGTCATCTTAGCCCACTTGAGCAACGTCCCACATCTATTGACTTTGGGTGTCATCAAGATGGATAGATTGTAAAGAATGCACAGGCCTTTCTATAACCTCCATCAATCCAAGGGCTAGCATCCTCTACCAACAATTGTCCGCCGGATGCTTTTTGGGCTACCTCAACCCCCCACCCCCAAAAAATGGAGAAAGTAGGGGGCCTGGGGGGTGGTCTGTTGATGGTCCCCTGTTATGTTTTTTATATTCATCTCAAACCTATTAACCACCTTATTCGTTTTTAAAAGAGGGTTTTCGGGGAGCTTATTTATCGTTTTCGTTAAGGTAGTCATTTGGGTAAATTGTCGCCTTGTTCATTGTTGGGCTGGGGGCCGACATTTTTTTCATTTGAAAGAGTTGACCCTTTTAGTAGTTATCAATTTGTGGGGTGTTGGTGGTGTATTTGTTTTTTTTTGGTTTGTCCTTCACTTCGGTCGTGTGCCACGTTTTCCTCGCCGACTTCATCATTGACTGGCACACCTTGCCTGTTTAGAGACGTCGCTCATCATTTTTGCAGACGGTCGTGATGATACATTTGACGAAGATTGATGCATTGCAGTTGATGGCAGTCAGTGTGTATTTTGACACTATCATTGAACCATGAATGCTCTTATTTCAGTCATCGGTATTCATCGGTTGCTGTTTTTTTTTTTTGTTCGAGCAGTATTCCTTTTTGCTGTGTGCCATCCTTCTCCTGCCATTTCGAAACGCACTTTGACCCATGGCACCAAAGAAGTTCTCCAGCGGGTACAAGTCTGAACCAGAAGAGCAGACTGAGCAGGTGGCAACCCAACCTGTGCCAGACGCTCAACCTGAAGAGCAGACTGAACAAGAGACATCCCAACCTGTGCCAGACGCTCATCCTGAAGCAGTGGATGAGGAGGTGTTGCTCATCACCCAAATGCTGGAGGCGGAGCAGTTCTTTGGCGATGTGGCGATGTCATCCGACCAGAACCTGACCGAGACTGTGGAACGCATCACCAAACGTATGAGCATTGCTATCAAGGCCAAGTCCATGCTGGAGTCGGAAAAAGCCAAGCGTGAGAAGGCCCTTCGTGATGAACACGCTGTCATCAACAAGCGCGCCAAGGCGGAAGCAAAGAAGAATGCCAACGCTCAGTTGCGTCAGGGGACTTTGACTTTGACGATTGTGCTCCCGAACAATGCCCGCTTCGCGATGAGGATTGACCGCAGTCTTACTCTGGGAAAGCTTCGCAAGAAGATTATCCGTCTGGCCAAGTCCAAGGGACTTTTCACCTTCAAGTTCAAGAAGTTGCTGGAGGTGGCGGTCATCTCCTCGGATGCTGTCAATGTCGGTTCCACACCAAGGGGCAACATCTACAACTGCAAGCAGTTGCAGGATGGAATGACGCTGGTGGCGATGTACACCAACGAGTTCGACAGTCGGACCTTCAGCTTTCCCACCATCCACGAAGAGACGCAGGCATTGGACGAAGAGGAGGACGGCGATGACGGTGATGATAGCGATGATGACGAGGAGGACTAGACATCTCCATCAAGTCCTTCTACTGACTGTTGCCATTTGTATGTTGAGACTAGCAGTCAGTCGGTCAAAGCATGATGCCAAGCCGAGTAGATGGACGCTCTGTGCGGTTGTTTCCTATGTATGTTGAAACATCCTGGACAGGGTGAAACCTCGGATGTCTTGGGAGCGAGTGGAAAACAATTTCACAAGGACATTGACCGTTGTTCATTTGAATGTCTGCAGTCAACAGCACTAACGCCGCTTATTTGCTACTACTGTTTGGGTTCCATCAGCGGACAACATCCCTCTCCATTTGACTTGCCTTACTTTTGCGATGCCGTCCTTGGTGGTTTTGCGGAGCGCCAACGGGGATGTGAAACCTTTCTTCACTGAGACCAACAGTGTCATTTCTGACACATCCTTGCCGTGGGATGTCAACAAGGACGACCTCATGAAGTTGACCTTGAAAGAGCTCTACGCCCTGACTCCGCCCGACATCCAAGCCGATGTGAAGAAGAACTGCAAGCGAAAGGATGAGGCGGTTGATGCGGTCTTCGCTATGTGGGATAAGGTCATGGACTACAAGAGTGGAGCTTGCCCTACGGTCGCTGTCGCTAGTGGAAGTGGTCAAGGTGCAGGTGGATACGGAGGAGACAGTGCTCAGGACTCGGATGACCAACACAGTGACGACCCAGATGACCCCGACGACGGTGGCTCTCCTTTGCCAGACCCTGCCGACTACACCGAGGGCGATACTTGGTTGACGGTGTTCAAGACCTACGAAACGTCCTTCATCAACATCCTCGTGAATGAGAACTACTCAATCCTCATGGTGAAGGTTGCCCTGACTCAGGAGTTGAACATTCCCGTCCGTGACCAACGCCTTGTGTTCCACGATGAGGACTTGAACGATGGACAGGTGCTGGGAGAGTTGAACCTTGAACCGAGCGACTACTTCAGTCTCTTTGTCAGAGCGCAAGGCGGTGGAAAGCGTGGTCGTGGTTCGGATGGCGCCACTGGTGGGAAAGACAACACGGATGACTTCCTGAACTTCAACATCGCTCTGCCGGACATCTTGCCGACCGACACAGAGCCCGTGAAGAGAGCCTTGTCGCTGACCAAGATTGACATTGCTGGATGGGTGAAGTCAATGGACACAGATAAGGCGGACCGTCTCCTGACCGTCTTGGATGAGCAGTCCAAAGCAACTTCGCTGAAGTTCCTCATCAAGCCGTATCTCCCCTTCGTCACAGAGTTTGAATGTCTACAGGACAGTTGTTTCATGATAACCTGAAGTCCATTTCAGACACAGTCCCCGTATCCAACCTGAAGTCCATTTCAAACACAGTCCACGTGTCCAACCTGAAGTCCATTTCAGACACAGTTCCCGTGTCCAACCTGAAGTCCATTTCAGACACAGTCCCCGTGTCCAACCTGAAGTCCATTTCAAACTGTCAGTTCTGGTGTAATTTGCATTTCAGACACACCCCACATTTTCAGCCTGAAGTCCATTTCAAATACAGTCCCCGTGTCCAACCTGAAGTCCATTTCAGACACATTTCCCGTGTCCAACCTGAAGTCCATTTCAGACAATCACCTTGACAGGAGGCGACCAAGCGGAATGAGATGACATTGAACTACCTTCGCCTTCTCCTGATGAAGGCATACAAGGAGTTCACGGAAGATGAGAAAAACAAGCACAAGAAGTTTGAGCGTTTGGTGCGTGACCATGTGATGAGAAACAAGAAGGCTGACACTGATGCTTCAATGTAGAGGAACTGAACATAAATCAGAACATCAACCGCGCGAGGGTGAAAAAAAAAAGAAGATACATTGCTCAAGTGAACCTCAGAATGTCATTTTTTCCTTCGCAGTATTCTCCCTCCATTCCCATCGCGACAGGTCAAGAAGTCAAGCTGAACATCGTCTACCACATCTGACGTCTACAAGGTTTTGGTTGCGAGGGTGAGCTGGAATTGCTGTGTTGACTTGTTGGTGTTTATGTTTGGAGGGAGGATTCGAACAAGACACTTTGAAGATTGAAGTGGAGAAGGGTTCAAACAAGACATCTTTCAGAGTTTACGTGTGCGTTTATGTTGTTTGTGTGGGTGTGTTGTTTCTGTTGATGTGTTTTTTCGGCTGTTTCGGTTGTCGGTGTGTTCGTCCGCCGTTTGTCCGCTCCCCGCTCCGCCAGGTGACGCCACGCCCTCGGTCTCTTTTCCCCCTTTTTCTTCACTCCGCCTTTTGTTTATGTTGCTGTTGATGGAGTGTGAGTCTCGTTGCGTGCGTTGTTTTTTCTGGTGTGGGTGGTCTGTGGGTGGTCGGCCTTCGGCTCAAATGCTGGTGATGCTTTTTGCTGATGATGCTGGTTTCTGTTGATGCTGGACTAAAACAAACAAACAAACAATTCAATAATCAAATCAGTAGGAATTTTATATAGGTCATCTTGTTTATGTTTAATGTATCCCTCACCCCAACTATCCTTTTTACCACAAGGCAACCGAGCCTGTCCCTGAAAATAATTCTAATAATTTCATATTATTAGAACTATTTAGATAATTATTTTATGGAATAATGCCCATATGGTAATGAAGTGAAAGCATCAATATAAAACCTTTTGTTTTCATAATTACTGAGAGATTGCTTGACTTGAGACATTGAATATATTTGATGTGACTTACTCCTAATAAAATGATATGTGATTTCGTGCTTTTTGTTTTGAAATAATGCTTCGTGATAGTTCTGATACGACAGTTCTTTTTTCACTTTGTGTTTCACTACACCTTTTGATTTCTTATGTTCATCAACCTCACCATGAATTGTGAAGGCATATGATTTAGGTTTTAATCCGATGAATTTAGTAATGATTTTTCCATTCACTTCGTCCTTAAACATTCCTAAGACCTTTTTATTAGTTTTGTCAAAGCATGGATGTTCAGGTGGATAGTCGCTAAAATCCATGTGTTGCTTTATATCATTGAAATCCTTATAGACATCATCAGTCATTGTTTGAATTACATAACTGTCAGTATCAGTATAAACCAGTTTTATGTTTTCATTGTATTTTTTCTTAAGGACATCATAGTAAAACTGATACATATGTAATTTGCTTAAATCTAAAATGCTCATTCCTGAGAAAATCGGTTTATCCAGTTTCAGTTTTGCTTTAGTTTTTTCAACTCCTACGAGATTTTCATTAATAATAAATCTGTTTTTGAATGTTGGATTATTAACACATTTTTCATATCTTACCGCATTATCAACTAATTC